ACACCGAGACAACTTCCCGAGTGCCTCTTTTCACTGCATTCTTCAACTACAAGAGTGAGTTAAAAGCAGCACTTGTCCTCAAGCATCCTTATGGTCAAGAATTCTGTTTGGTTCGTCAGATCCGCTGAGCAAGCAAGAAAATATGAACTATTTAGGGTTAAGTATAGAGCAAAGAAGCAACTCACTGCTAATGAGAGAATGGGAAAAACACAACCTGGTGTCTGTAACAGGCACAGATTAGGTAATTAAACAATTTTACAAATAATTAAACAAGCAACTGCTTCATAGCAAACAGTGAAGTTAACCAGAACAGAGGGAAGATAAAGCACAGACATTGGGTGGGGGCCAACTTTACCTGTTAACACCACTCAAGCTTTCAACCAACCTGTCTGAATGTATTCCAGTTTCCTTAGCCAACATAAAAGAGAAAAAGTGATAGAAATTAAGGATATCCGTAGTCGTATGTCATTTCTTCTTTTGGATCAACAATTCTAAATGTATCTTAGAACACCTTCCCTCATCAACTGCTATTTTAATTAATGATGTTAAAGTTGACAGACTAGCATTTCTCCCTAGAAACCCACTTTACAAAGAGATGACACTGAAAAATGTCCACAGAGAAAGTCAGTGGGGACCAACCCATAGAAAAATATACTACGGCTCTATAAAAATTCAGATTCAGTTTGGCTCAATTCCACAAATATTTACTGTGCATCTGCTGGAGGCCAGGCCTTGGCTGAGGTTACAGGATGAAGTTCTTACCCTCAGAAGGTCTTTCTAGTGAGGAGCCACGTGCATAAATGAGGTGTTCAACCTCCAGGAGGCTCCAGCCTCCTTCCCCTTCCCCTTCTTCACAGTAGGAAATCTGGAGATGGGCCCACAGGTTATGTTGCCTGCTTATTCGCAGAAGTTTTCTATATGGAAATATGTGTGTGTACGTATATATACATACATGTATACGCCCTCAAAGTAGTTTTCCAAAACTCTGTGTATACGGATATTTGTATCTGCATATATATTTTTTCCAGAAATGGAATAATAATGGGGCAATAGAGTTACATTAATGTTGGTTTCCTGGCTTGAGTTTGTTCTTGAATGGCTCAGGTATTAGTCTATAGATGCCTGTGTGTGTGTGTGTGTGTGTGTGTGTGTGTGTGTGTGTGTGTGTGTGTGTGTGAAGTGGTGAAAGGTAGGGGAATCTGGATCTGGAGGAAGTAAGAGTTATTTGTTCTAATCTGGCAACTTCCCTGTAAATTTGAAATTATTTCAAAATATATGATTCATCCATAAATATTTTTAAAAAGCAAGTCCAGACCCTTGTGGCCTCCATCGTGCTATCTTTGCACAGCATCTCCTGACACATTTAACGTCAAGTTATATGTGCCTGCCTCCAGCAGCTGCTCTCAACCCTGGCTGCACATGAACCCCGGAAAATGTGAAATGTGTATGCCAGCAGGCAGCCTCTCCCAGACAAGTGGAATCAGCTTTGCTGAGCCTTGGCCTCAGACATCTTTTTATAAAGCACAGCTCTGTGCCCGTGTCCACTCTTCACGCCTCTGCTCTTACTGTTCCCCAGGCTTGGAGGGCAGCTGCCTCCTTGTCCATCTTGCAGGGACAGCCTCGTGGTCACTACCCGACTCGCGGCCACCTTCTCCCTGCAGGAATACAGACACCCACGCCACCCACTAGTTCTCTCAGCTCTCCTTCCAGATCTCACGCTGTGTCCTGAGAAGGCAATTCTGTCTCCCTCCAGCCCGGACCTGCTCTAGGGAGAGGTCCTGGTCATGTTCACCTCTGTTAGCACAGGGCCTAGCACACAGCAAGACTCCACAGCGTGTTTGCCAAATTGCAGGTCAGCAAGGTGCCCTGCTCAGCTCATGGCAGAGGCAATGGAGGTACAGAGGGGCTTCGGCCCGGGGCTTTCCACCCTTGGGGAGGAGCCGGCACCCAAGGTGTCTCAGGAACACAATGGAAGGGCAGGAGAGAGGAAGGAAGCAGAAGAGTGAGGAGGAACACCAGGCCGGGCCAGACCACAGGCAGGAGGGTGGAGGACAGTGGCGGGTGGGAGAGGGAGGGGGTGAGCAGGGGGTGACTGGAGGGACAGCTGGTCCAGACAATGAACGTGGTGGTGCTGGCCCTTCTGGAAGTGGAATCAGTACCTAACAACATCCCACATCCCTACGTACCATTTCCTAAAATTGTATTATTTTCTATTGAGGTGACAGCGGTCTACAATGCTGTATATGATTTCGGGGTGTAGCCCACTAGCTCCTTTTGCATAGGAGGTTCAGTACTGTGGTTTGCAGGACTGACCTGGTGGGTGAGTTGGTGGGTGAGTTGGTGAGTGAGCGAGTGAGTGAGTGAGTGAGTGAGTGAGTGATGGAGGGAGAGCTTGTGCTGGCCCTTGTCCCTGGCTCTGGCCTGGACCATGGTGAACCCCGCTTCTCAACTCCCTCTGCAGTGATGTTGTCTTGGCAACTTGAAATCCACCGTGATGGGGGTGTTTACACCCGGGGAATAGGCCAACCCTACAAATCAGGATTCTTCTCCCCGGAGAGCAGCTGTTTAACATTTAGCAACACACCACCGGGCACATTAGATGAAATCCTAGCGGGAGTGGAGTTCCCTGGAGTGAGTTCTCACTTTGGAAATAAACCTTAACATTTGTTGTTGTTGTTTCCGCTTTAATCACTAATTCACAGTGGCACACTTCAATTATCTTTTATGGCCCATCCAGAGTGATTCAGCATTTGTGGCTACCCTGGCCAACTAACCATCGTTTAAAGCCTTGTTTCTATGGGGAGATATTTCCAAGTTGCAAGTTACTGACTTTAAAATAAACTTTTAGAAAGGAGCCCTTTTGTGATTTAGGGTCTTTCAATTCTGGGTGCTCATGGGAACATGAGAGAACAAAGGAGCCATGGCAATTTAAAAAATAGAGGTGGCAAAATTCCTCCTAAGTGAAGAGGCAAAATGAATAGAATTATTCACTTGGAGGGGAAAATGGTGAGCAGCAATGCAATAACGGGGTGTCCACCAACTGTTCACGGTGCCAGGGATTCAGTTAGCCAAGGGGAAGAATATATTTGTGGTGTTATTCTGGGGTGCATGATATGTGGGCTTCGCCTCAAGCATTCACAAACATCTTTTCAGCGGGTCATTGACACCCGTCGCGAGAACCAAGAAAGGGTTAAGACCAGGTTACTTGTCAGTTTCGAGGTCCCCATCACCTTTCTGCTGCTAAGCCTCCAGGTGGCAGGATGTATTCGAAAGTTTGAGAAGCGTGGTATCATGCAACGACTCTCCATAGACATCTTAGAATAACCAGACCCAAATTTTATCATTTTCCTGTCCCAAAATCCAATAATGTGAAATGTAAGCTTGTGTATCGAAAGTTCACATCAGGCATCCTGAATCAACACAGTGGGGCGCAGGCTTGGGGGAGCACATGAGGTCCGTGTTGTTTCTGTTATTCATTCAGAAGGAGTGAGAATATTGCTTTCCTGAATGATAGTGCAGAACCCTGAATTTCCTTAAACTATCTGAATCCTTGAAATGACAGCTGTGGGTCTGCCACTTGGCACCCTAAACGGCCACAGCACCCCCAGACTCTGCTTTAACAGCTGGTTTATGATGTGATTTCATAATAACACTTTTAAGCCCGGTATATCCCTTTCTCCAAAACTGACATAAATCCATAAAGCTTTTTAACAGTGACTTGGAAATACACCAGACCATTCTCTGTGGCATGTTTTTGGCGGGTGCGCCTGCAGGCCTTAGCTCTCTCAATTCCCTTCATGATCTGCCTTGCCTGGTGGTTGCAGGTGAGCTGAGACAAGGGTGGTGTTTCCCCAGGCAGGGGGCTCCCCCACATCACCAGCTCCTGTCCTGCCTGGGCTTGTACTCAGAGCTCACTGCAGGGGCCGGGCCTGGGCACCGGCATTTCAACTGGCCCCAGGCAGGTGGTCTGGGTCATGAGTCGGGCACAGCTCTGCCCACTCTTGGGACTGTGATGACAGAGATGCCTGGTACTGGGAAGCGCAGGTTTTAGCCATCCAGGCCGCACCTGCCATTCAGTTGCCTGTGCCTCCAAGGCCTCACCTGCTGGCTCAGCTCTGCTGCCCGGGAACCCTCCCTTGGCCCAGGTTCTTCACTCCTGGACCTTGAATATCAAGCATCCAGGTGTTTCTCTTCCACACCCCTTTTCCTGTGCTTCGTCAAGTCCACTTCCCTCTGGCTTGTTTGCACCCCCTGGTTTTGATCTTGGGCCTCCCTCAGGCCTGGGTTACCTCTTCTTTCCCACATGCCCCAACCTGTGCTCAGTAATGACCCCCAAAGTTGTGTATTTGCAAAGTGAAGTCCTTGATAATAATAACAATAATAGGTACGATTTATTTTGTACTCGTTACTCTTATGGTTCTACTATTATTCCCTTCCTTTCACATAAAGACTTCTGAGCCCTAGAGAAGTTGGTCCAGTGGTGTCCCCCCCGGGTCACACAGCTAAACAGCAGTGCCAGTGTGACACCAAAGTTCTTACTTTGAACCTTGTGACTGGAAACACTATATGCAAACCCTCCCAGGACTCGGGGTTCCCTCCAGAGCTTCCCATGTGAACCTCTAAAGCAACTCCAATCTCAAAGAGGGTGCCCATGTGCTCCTTAAATTGACTGTGTCTTAGCACTGCCTTTATTTTCAGTCTATCTCTGCAACTTCAGTGAGCGACCTGGTCTGGTAAGCACATGAGAACTGTTCTGGGGTGGTTGAAGCTTCTTCATGTTTACTATTATGTCACGGTGGCTGTGACATGCCTTTCTTTCCATGACAGAGCATCCCTGTGACAAGCTTCATCCACCCGCATGATTTCTCCAGTGTGACCTCCCTGCAGGGCGTCTGCCCCTGCAGACTGCCTGAGCGGCCGCTCCAAATTCACCATCTCCACATTCACACTGACTCAGACTTCTCATAGTTCATTGCTCTCTTTCCTTTTCTTTGCAACAGATGTTGGTGCGTTTTTTGAAGAGGGGATGTGGCTGCGGTACAACTTCCAGGCATCAGGAGGCGGTGCCAAAGAGGCGGGCAGTCGACCGGAGGGCCCCCCAGATCAACAGGGCTCGTCCCCTGACCTGGCCCATGAGGAAATCCACTTCAGCTTCAGCACCACCAAAGCGCCCTGCATCCTGCTGTACGTCAGCTCCCTCACCACGGACTTCCTGGCCGTTCTCGTCAAGCCCTCCGGTAAGGCCAGGGCGCCTCGCCTGTGTGTCTGGTGTTGAGTGGACAGAACATTCTAGTAAGAGATGAATCGTTCTCGACTCCCCACAAGACACTGAGCAAATGCCCTAAGATTTTTGAGCCTCTTTTCTCTCTTTGAGAAGCTACCTGAAAACCCTGCCTCAGTTGAGTGTTTCACAGCCACGTGTTACTGCAGTAACATTACTCAGGCCTCCCAAGAGTGCTCTCCAGAGCCCAGAGTCACGCTCCTTACATTAATATGATTCTAGAAAATGTTCCCTAGAATTTCCCCTTCAGATATTCTTCCCAAAGAAATAAGCCGAAAGGCAAAGATTCAGCATATAGATGCTCACCACAGTGTTATTGATGAAATAAGAGCTGGGGAGGACTCAGGCGACCATTAAGAATAACACGTATGAACAGTAATTCATGACAGGCAGAAAAAATGGTAAGGGCTGTAATTTAATTCAAAAGCAGAAAGCAAGATGCTGTCTTGACTGTTGCGATATCAACTTAGCTCTGTAAAAAATATGAACAGAGACACAAAGCACTGGCGATCACAAAATGCGCTGGAAGGTTGATTCGCTTCTCCAGAGAAATCCTCTTCTCGCAACATATGCTGGCCCTGCACCAAGGTCACTGTCCTAATCAGACAAAAATCATTAAAATCAGTGACTGAGGAAGCAGAAGAGAGAAGTATACAGCCCCTGTCTTCGGGGAGTCCACGAGCTTGGTTTATTGCCCCCGGATCAAATTCGACAGATGTGTGAGGAGCCCTGTTCTCCGGCCACACGTCTCCACGGCCAGCGCAGGTGCCTCGCTCAGGAGCCTGCCCTGGGCCGCCGCCTTGTCTGCTCCGCCTAGTCTGCTCCCCGCCAGGCTAAATCCAGTCCTCAGCCCCGCACCTCCCCTCAGCCCTGGGTGCCCCTGTGAGCAGAGGAGCTTGTGTTGGGGGCGAGGGTTTGATGAGTCAAGTCCATAGTGACCGCTGTCATTTAATGACGCCCCGAGCTGCGCGGGTTCATTAGTGTCTGTGAGCCGCAGCCCAGGAGGAGACGCTCCCTCAACCCCCTTCTACAGACGACAAAACTGGAGCCCAGGGAGGTTTGGGGACCTGCACACTGAGCTGTTGGGGGCGCCGGGGGGCCGCGGGCGTCTGACCCTGCCCACAGCTCAGGACAGCGCTCTGACTCCACGGAGCTCTCTAGAACATTCCCGCGCACCTCGAAAGCATCACAGGTTTCTTCCTAATGACAGCCAAGCTTCCTCCAACTGCTGGTGAAAGGTGGCTTTTAGACACCGCGTGTTTTGTTATTTATTTAGAGTTAACATTTTTGAAGAAAGTATGGGGGGTGGAATCAATAAGGACTGTGCCAAAATATCAGGGGGAAAAGGAACTTGAAAGTCCTAACTGAGTGCCCTGGCGTCCCTCAGGACGACCGTTGAAGCTGTGTCCTCACGATTCCCCAGAGCAGCCCTTTCTGGGGACCACTGTTCTAGCAGTACTGCCCGCCCCAGGCACCTGAATCCACGAGCTCCGGGGTCCCTGAAGCTCCTTCCCTCCACTGTCCAGTCCAGTGGGAAGGCCCCCTGCTCTCCCTTCCCGCTGCTGCTCTCCTGCCGACCTCCCCCTCCGCTGCTCCCCAACTCAGCTCATGTCACGCCCAGGCAGAAAACTGTGGCTTTGGGATGGCACGTGGGTCAACAGGGGTGGCTGTGTCTGGGGAGCCACCACCAGCTCCCGCAGCCAGGTCGAAGGGGGGTGCCCTGGCACCTGTCCCCCTTCATGGCGTAGCAGTGTGCCCAGCATGTCCCCACGAAGCTCTGTCCCAACCCATCTGGCTCCCACCCACCCCGCCTTCACCCGACCGTCCACATCCTTCCTCTCTGCACATCCCGCAGCGCTCCCCCAGCAACTCCAGGAGAAACCCCAAGTCCTGAACCCTGCATTAGAGACCCACCGTCTCCTGCAGTGTAGACCCAGGACATCTGGGTTTGAATTCAGCATCTACCTATGGATCTTGGGCAATCGGCCGCTCTGTGCCTCGGTTTCCTCATCTGTACAGTCTCATCCCCCTCATGGGGTGTTGAGAAATCTAGTCAGTCAGTGAGTGTAAGACACTACACTTACACTGTGTGTGCGGAGACGACATACCCTGTCTGCAGGTGTGCAAATCCAGACTCCTGGCCTCACCCCCATGTCCCACAGACTCTGTCTCCCCTGCCAGGAGTCATCATCCCCCAAACACTACGCACAGCGTGTATTACCCGCGGTGCCCCAACCCCTCTTCCTCTCTGGGGACTCGCTCCCACCCCACACCCGGATCAGGTCTCCAGCTCACCCCCTTTCAGTGACTTCTCACTTGATACTCCCGTGACACTCGTCTTCAGGGTCCTCTGTCCGGCCTCCGTGCACAGCATCATTGCCGTCTCTGGTATGAACACGCGGGTCTTCCCAGAGAGAAGGAGCCCTCCCAGCACGGCAGCGCCCGCCTCTGACAGGCGCTCCAAAGTGTTTGCCAGTGGTAACAATGATGACGGGGAGAGGATAAATCTGTTCAGCTCATTATTTGCCGCAGCCACTAAAAGACCAGCCTCCTTCTAAGTGTTTCCCTTCGCTCGGGAGAGGACCCGAGATGCAAGAAGTGAAGCAGCTCTCTGTTCTAATAATATTTTATTTTAATGGACAAACATTAATATTCTCTCGACCATCATTTAGTGGTTCTCTTAGGCTATTATTTGAAAGGAATAAATAGATCACTTCAATTTTATTATTCGAGAATATCACCATTCCTGTTTATAGATATTCACTGGATATAAATTTTAACTTCCAGCTCATCTTTTTTCTCAAAGCAAATCATTTCCATTGCCATTAAGTGAAGCAGTTAGAGAAACATGAAATCAGACTTACCAAGCCAAGAGAACAAGCAAAGAGAAAATATAATGAAAATAACTTGATGACTGTGACAACCTCGGGGGCACGCAAGGAAGGACCTCTGAAAAAATTAAGGAGGGCAGTGTCCAGTTATTCATATAATTGCCACTTCCTCTGACTCTAGCCCTGGATGGCAGAGCCCCTGCTCCCTGGTGTACCCCCATTGCAGTCCCCAGGGGTCGAGTGTGCCGGTCTGCATAGACATGGACTCTACACTTACAGCCAGCCAGACCGTCCACTGTCAGACCTCAAAAAATTGAAGTCAGCAGTGCTCTTCCTAGACATGGAGAAATGAATAAATGATGAATGATTGTAACTATGTGTTTAAGAAGACTGGTTGTGCTTACATGAGGTCAAGATTCCAGACATAAAACGGAAAATAAGAACTCAAGATCATCAACTTGTTTTTCTATGTGTTGTCCAAACAGCAACCTAATCATCTCCTTCCCTTTCAAACAACAGATTTTTTTTTTTTTAACGCTACAAGGGTTACGGGAAAAACAGGGCACATCACCAAGGGCTGGGGAGACAAGCAGCTCAGGAAAAGGGGAACAGCATATTCAAAGGTCCTGAGGTGCATTTTCTCGGACAGCTCAAGGCAGTGTGGATGTCAAAAGTGAGCACATGAATGCTGTGACTTGAATATAAATTAAGCAGCAGAACTCACATCAGACAGAGCATCTTAGGTTACCTTAGTGATGGGTCTTCACCCTGTGAGCAACCAAAAGGCTTTGAAGAGGTTTAAGCAAGCCAGTGAGATAACCAAGTCTGCATCTTGAAAAGTTCTCTCTGCAAGGGGATGATGGGACCGAAGGTAACACAGAAGCAGGAAGCCGTTGTTCATCCACTCATTTATTCACAGATATTTATTTATTAAACACCTGCTAAGTCTGGGCATTATTCTAGACATTGGGAATAAAGTAACAAAAATTATAAACAAAGTTCTTGCTTTTATGGAACTTTCATTTGAGCTGGAGAAGACAGACAATGAACAAATTAAGTGCAATATGTAATATGTTGCCTGGTGAGAACTTTCATGTGGGCAAAATATGGACAAAAATAGAAGGCCTGTCCAAGGGGAAAAAAAATAGGTCAATTCTGCTTTTAATGAGGAAGTCACAGAAATAACCACCTGAAGATGACCTTTGAGCAAAGACCTACAGGGAGTTGGGGCTCCGCCATGCAGATAACTCAGGAATGAACACCTAGTCAGGATAACCGTGAGTGCAAAGGCCCTGGGGCAGGAGCACGCTGCAGAAACAGTAAGAGGTTGTGTCAAAGATGAAAGAGGAGGCTCATATAGGGCCTGGTGAGCCCTCACGGACACTGAGTAAGTGAGGCCAGAAGCTGCTGGAAGGTTCTGGCAGGAATCACCCTGCCTGGCACGCGGAGAGGAGACTGTTGAGAAGCAGCGTCTGGTTCGGGAAGAGGCAGAGTAAGGAGGTCACGAGGAGGCCAACAATAATCTGGGCAGAGGAAGATGGCAGCCTGGCCCCAGGGGGCCAGAAATGGAGGCGGTGGAAGACAGCAGGGTTAGAAGCCTATGTTGAAGAAAAAGCCACACAATCTGCTGGCAGACCCTGTGTGTAATAATATAGGATAAGGACAGTCAGGGCTCTTGCCAGAAGTAGCTGGAAGGACGGACGAAGTGGCCGTTAGCTGAAATGTAGACAGTTGTGATGGTATTTGCGGGGGGAGGGAGGGAGAAAGGAGGAGTTTGGTTTGGCACGGTTTGTGTCTGAGGTACTGCTTTCACGACGCGTGCTCAGGAGGGCTGAGGGCTGGGGTGAGGTCTGGCGTGGTCACCTGGAGAGCCAGCCTCGCCAGCGTCCAGGGGTACAGGCAGAAGCTGGTGCAGGTGAGGCTCAGCGATGGCTGTCGGGGCCCTGACATGGCGTCACCAGCAGGCAGACCCCAGGCCAGGACCTGCGTGAAGCTGCGTCAGCTGAGGATTCACCGAGGCCTTCCAAGTCCTGTGGAGATGAGGAGGGAAGTGGGTGGACCAGACACATTCAGGAACTGGAAACCAGCAGTGCTTGCTCGAAATGCCTTAAGCAAAAGAACCTAGGGTGACACACTGTGGGGTAAAACTCAGAAATAGCCAAGGTTTGTCGAGTTTGTTCAGAAAGCAAAGATAGGAAATGAGGTGAATTCTTGGTTATTCTAATGAATGTTTCTTCCAGCTCCAGGAGCACAGAGCAATATAGCCACGGCAAGCGTAAAATGCGAACACTGGAGTCAGGCAGGGTGCGTCAGAAGCCACTGCATTTACATCCAGTGTGTAGAAGGGGGAGAGAACAGTCTGGAAGGAGAGACCGCCAAATAGCTAGAGTTGTTATCCCCAGGTGGTGGCGTTTCTGGTGACTTTTTCCCTGCTTACCATCTCTGTTTTAATTATCATGCTTTGCTTCACAACTTAAAATCAAAATACCTGTTTTGTTCCTCTAAAAGAAAAGCCACAAAGGCAACCATGGATCGGTGAGGTGATTTCCAGCTGTTCGGCCTCTTGCTCAGCTGCCAGCTCTCCCCTCCCCCTACAAGCTCTGAGATGTCAGAAGCTATTAACATGAAGATTCCAACAGGAATCGAAAATGGGATAAAAAAAATGGATAAATAAATAAGAAATAAAAGTTATGTTTGCTGTGCAGATTCATTACGTGCAGGATCTGGACTATTATGAGTCTTCTTAGATAGTCTTTGTCATTATTGAGAAGAAGTTAGGAAGAGGAGGGAAAAAAAGAATAATTTGCTGAGGCAAAAGCAATGGTGGCAGAGCCATTGAGTTCCTAGGGACCCAGGAAGCCTGAGCTCCCTTCAATTTGCATTTTCTTTGATGCAGTCTCTCACCTGGCATAAAATGCATTGCTTTGTTTTCTCAGTTTCTATGAAACCACCCCAAATCCCACCTATTTATCTTTTGAAAATTATCTTTATTTTTTTAAAGATTTATTTTTTATTTATTTCTACATACAAGAACTGGGGTACAGGCCAGAGGTGTGGTGGGTGAGAGGATTCACCAGAGACACAGTGGGGAGCAGAATAGGCGGATCTACTGAAATACACTGCTGAGGGGAGCAGTGGGCAAGACAGGAGAGGTCTGCTGTGCCCTGTGGGTAGCTCCCTGGCCGGGATCAAACTCATGCAGCAGTGGCTAACAATAGCTTGACAGCGCTGACTTCTCCCCTGTGCCACTAGGGAGGCCCTCCAACTTTTGTAAATTATGTTTATTTTTAAGAGCACATCCTCAGGGTCTTTTAACTGCCGATGCCATCCTTTGCCACAGGATGAGCCCACCCCTGCATCCTGCATTTATTTCAGAGTACCTGGGGGTGGAGGGTGAGGGGTTTCAGGCGGTTCCACAATCCTATAGTGTACATGTCCGCATTCTCCCTTTCCACACCCAACCCCACTTTGCATCATTTAAACCATTTACTACTTTAATCCTGAGATCCCCTCGCCCAAGGCTCATTGTTAGCAGGTTTGTTATAGGGCAGCCCCAATATTGAACGGGTTGCCTGGCTGTGGGTCCTCACCCGCGCACTTACAAGGGACTTATGAATACTCCATTGCAGGACACACAAAAGGTTAATAAAAGGCTTATTTACAAGGGAAAAGGAAATAAGGAAAATGTACAACTCAGGGAGAAAATAGGGAAATAAAGTCTTTCATGCGTCCTACCCGATCTGCCGACCTGGAAACCCAAAAAACACTCTCAGAGCTGGCCAGACGCTGCGAGCTGGCGGGGAGCCAAAATGGGGGGATCCCCCAAAGCCCACGTGTCTGCCTTTTATATCAACCTGGCTGCTGAACCCCACCCTCAGGTCCCAGCCACCTTCCCTTGGGTGGGGATGGGATGTGGAGTTCCCAGTGTCTTTGGCTTTGGCCTGGGGTGGGGGTGGAGTCCACAAAGCCTGTATGGGATTAGCTTTAGGACAGCCTTTTCCCCCTAACAGGTTCTCAACCTGTGTGCCTCGTGCTGTTCACCCTGATGAGTGAATGAGCGCGCAGACAGCAGTCCTGTCTGTGACTTGGAGGGAAGGCGCAGAGGTTAAAGAGACCTTAAGAGGCCAGGGGCTGGGGCAGTAACACTGGGACGAAGCCTTGAGCCGAGAAATGACTGAGCCTCTTGCCTTGTCTTTCCATAGGAAGCTTGCAGATTCGGTACAACCTGGGCGGCACCAGGGAGCCATACAGCATCGACGTGGACCACAGGAACATGGCCAGCGGGCAGCCCCACAGCGTGAACATCACCCGCCACGAGAGGACCATCACGCTCAAGGTACGCGCGTGGGGCCAAGCGCGAGCGTGACCCGGCGTGAAACCTCCATCCTCGGCCCCTGGTGTTGGTGGGTTGTGCCCCGGGAGGCTGGGCAGGTGGACTCGGTGTGTATTATGCTCGCTCCTAACGAGACAAGGAGAAAGATCCAGTCCTTCTGGGAGAGATAATGGCGGGGCTGACGGGGAAGACGTTTCCTCGGGAGAAGGGAGAGTAAATGTTTACTCCGCGGCTCGTGGCTTCCCTACTTGAACACGCAGACATCTCTCTTTCTACTGTTTTTATCCACCGCACCATCTTTTTCCTGTGTTCTCAGACATCTGAAGCTTATCTGAAGCTTCCCAGAAAGGTTATTTTGGTTTATCTGACCTACTTCCTCGGCGCCGCCAACTCTCTCTGAATAACTGTACATTTTTTTTCCACTGGATGTTTTGCTTTAAAAATCCAAAAAACGCAGACCGTCTCGGGGTAGACCTGGCACACGAAGGGGGGGTTTTGTTACGACACCGGTTTTTATTTCGGGTCCACCGACCGTGCCTTTCCCACTGCCTGTTTTCACCACGAAGAAGCCAGCCTGGGAGAGACCATGAATAAAACATAACTGAGGAGGTCTCCCTGGGAACTGAGCCGAAAGATCAAGTATGGAAACTGTCACCGCATCCTCTAGAAGGAGTTGGAAATAGATACCTGTCAGGGAAGGAACAGCAGGGGTTGCTGTATTGTCAGTGGAGTGTCACCGGGCCGGGGCTCAGCCTCCTGGCAGCCCTCCCCCGGATGGGGCTGGCTGCTGAGGCGAGGTCAGGCTGCAGAGGGAAGGCGCAGCCCCTGCTCTTTGGAGACCTGGCGGATGTCAAATTCATAACAATGTGGAGCTTATGCTTGGCCTTTAGCGGTAAATGCTAGAGGGCATTTTAAGGAGAGGACTTGCCTCAGAAAATGACAAGGCGCAGCTACAGCTCATTGTACGCCCATCACACGCAGGGTAAATAGTGTCCTCATGGTGACTGGGCCCTGCAGCCCAGGGCGCTGCCGGGCACAGGCGGGGCTGAGCTCACCCCGCGGGCAAGCCAGCCCACCTCCAGTGGGAATGCCAGGGGGACTCAGAAAAGCCAGCTGGTGCAGGGTTCCAGTGGCTTCTGCCTTCCCGGGATGAAGGGTCTGTGCGTTCACTGGCTTTGGATTGGAGAAGTTCTCTTGGTTGAAACCACACCATCTTTTAAAGAAAGCGCCTCTTCTGGCCAGTTCACCCCTGCAGAAAGGATGGAAGGCATTAAAAATAGCTCGATTGTCTTTAAGCACAGGACCCTAGAGAGGACCCACATGGCTTCAGAGTCTTGCAGGGTGAACCCAGAAACGCTCCAGAAAGCGCCTGCTTTGCTAGGGCGAGCCCTTGGCTAGGGGAACCACATACACAGATGAGGTGGGTGAGCGGAAGGGGAGACAGACAGGAGAGCTCGACGCTGCAGTTCTGTATTTCTCTCCCAAAACGAGAGTCCGGGGTGAGCATAGGTTAAGGCCTCCCTTCTGGCCCATCTCCCCAACTGGGGATTCTATGGAGCAAACAGCAACTCTTTAAGAACAGACATATGCTTCATCAGGGCTGCCGTCTGTCCGCCATGGGGGATGAGAGCGTCCTGAGGGGGATGGGGCGGGCTGTTTTAGGAACCCGGCACTTTGGAGACATAGGCAGGAGAGGAGCAGAGGGGCTTGAGAAGTAGAGAGTCCCAGGGATTGAGAGAGGGGTTTGGGGGAGAGGCTGATTCTGTTATTTAGTGTGGGATTTGGGGTGGCAGTTTAGTTTGTTTTTGTTTTGGGGTTTTTTGGGGGGATTGCAAATAATAGGAAACCAGTTCAGTTTCCATGGGAGGGAAAATTCCTAGGGTGGGTCACAGAATTTAAGAAAGTGCAGCCACCAGGTACAGGGCAGGCAGGGGTGCCGGGGGTGCCGGGAGGCCAGCAGTCCCCCAAATCCCCCGCAAGTCTTCACTCTAGGCTTCTTTCTCCCCGTCTCTCTCTCCTGCCTCTTCTCCTGCTTCTGCTTCTCTCAGGAATGTCTCAATGCTGCTGCCTTGGCCCACAGAAGGAAACAACACAACTTACAACCATGTAAAAACTGCAGGTGCCCCAGCAGGCAGGGCAATCCTAATGGCAGGAGGGCAGAAAAGCCTGAAAACCATTTACCCCACAAAGGGACTCTGAGGGGATGGGAACCGATGGCGCCACCATGTTTTGAGGGTGGGGGAGAAAAGATGAGAAGGAAGGCGTCTGCCTTGGGATGGAGCGCGGCCCAGAGCCACCTTCCTCCCTCAGGCAGTGCGAGGCAACTGCTCTGAGATTTCTGGATGTGTTTGGCGAGTTAGGGAAGACCTGAGGGTTGGGGTGCTCTGGTCTTTCTCCGTGCAGCCTCTGTGTGGAGGACAGAGGGAAAACAGAGGCAGAGGTGAGAGCGGGAGAAAGGAGAGCACCGCCTGGGGAGAGCAGGTCAGACAGACCCTGTCCCGCTCCCTTTCGGGCAGGGAGGTGGTGCTCAGAGTGGAAGTCATCCCCAGGGTAGCAGTAGCCATTAAAAAAAAAAAAAAATCCGGGGGCCTCCCCGGTGGCGCAGTGGTTGAGCGCTGGGTTGCGAAGCTGCCCGCAGCCTCTGCGGCGCAGGTTCGATCCCCGGCTGCTCCCCGGCCACCGGAGGAGGGTCCCACATGGCGCGCAGACCCCTCCTGCCGCCCGCTGCTCCCCTCAGCAGTGTACTTCGGTCCTTCTGCCTGCTCTGCTCCCTGCTCTGGCTCTGGTGAATTCTCTCACCCACCCGCGCTTCTGACTGTACCCAGTGCTTGTATAAATAAATAAATAAATAAATAAATAAATAAATAAATAAATAAATAATCCGCTGTTTTGGTTTCCAGATGCAACCTACAAACCCATCTTGACAAGGTCCATGGCCTCCCAGTGCAGGGAGAGGAATATAATTAAATGCTAATCGTGATTGTTTCTGGGTGAAGGGATTTCAAGTGGCTGGACTGCCTCTAGGGTTGTCTGTATTTCCTCATTTTCTTGTAGAAGGCTGTGTGGACCGTTTATATAATCGATAAATCGTAGGAATCATGTGTGGGCCCTCAAGCTATTCTGATAACCCCCAGCGTGGTCAAACAGCATCAAGAGATTTCAATCATTTCAAATTAAAAGGTACTTTGAATCCAAGAAGAAAAATCAGTCTGCTTCAGAGATGAGTCTTAAATGAAGGGGAAATCTTGCATCGCTCCTACAGCCTCGCACATCTTGAGATATGTGAGTTTCTCGGTGTTTACGGTGCTTTGAAAGGTCAGTTTGCTTTCCTAGCTGGGTTTGGGTAAAGCTCACATTAAATTAATTTGCATTCCCTGAACACACACGTCTGAAATGGTGATGAGCACTTGAGGGAAACGGACCTTGGATGAAGCATTTGCTGCCAGAAAAACGAAGTGTGCTGTCCCCACGCAGATGATGAAGAGCGAAGGCTGCCAGGAGGAGCCCGGCGAGGCCAAGCCCACGACAGCCCCCAAGTGGCGTCCTTTGTGGAAACTCACAGATGCTCCAGGGATGAGTCAGGATGTAAATCAAACCAGGGCAGGCAGAGAGCACCCGAGAAAGGGCCCTTGGTGATGAGAATCATGCCGTGAGCAGGACTCCCAGGCCTGAGCATGACCTTGAATCATGTCCAAGTCTGAGTGACAAATCCTTCCTCCCGACTCTCCTGCCCTCCGTCCCAGCCACACTGCGTGAGGGACCTGATGTGGTTTCCAGGGAATACGCGAGATGAAGTCAAGAAAATGAGTCACAAAACGCAGGCCCCAAACAAGGGGAATATGGGACATCATTACCCAGGTCCTGCGGTCTGGCCTCAGGTGTAAATCTAATGCTCGACGTCTTGGAGTGCCCAGCCCGTGGGGAACAAGTGCACCTGCGCTCCCAGGGAATCCCCGGGTGTCCCGCTCTGTCATTCTTGAATGGCTCTGTCCCGCAGATCATGTCCACAGACGCAGAAGAGGGTCCGCCAGCCAAGCAGAGTCAACCACAGGGCTGATGTCGCTGAGTTGCAGGCACAGCCAAGGCACCTGCACACACTGTTCGTGTCATCCTCACCTGACGCGCCACTACTGTCCCCACCCTAGAGGTGTGGGAACGAAAGTGCAGTGTGACTCGCCTGAGTTAGAAGCAGCGAGTGAGTTGAAAAGTCGGTCTGCCCCACCTCAGCGTTTACTCACGCGTGGGCCACTACTTAATGGGGGGAGGGGGTGTGTGTCACAAAATTTTGAAGAGGGGGATACCTTGCCCAGTAAGACATTGAGTGATGTCACTGCCGGTGCTTTTACTCCAAGATAGTTCAAAACTGCGCAGAAGCACAGAGAAGAGTAAAACACACCCCGGGGCATGCCCCGCCTAGACATGCTGGATAGTCATGCTTCGCAGAGCTCTTCAGACCTTGAAAACGCAGCAGTAGCTGAGGCCCGCCGCCTCCCTTGTTCATCTTGGGCCCAGAGACAGCGTGGAGGCCAAGTCTTCAACGATGTTTCTGGAACTGATGCGGTTTTCACAAGACTGGGTGCAGTGGCATATCCCGGAAAGCCCAGCATGACTTAGGCCTGGATGTCAGCCCCAGTGATTCCGGGGAAGCACATGGAACGGGGTGCTGGGCAGGTGAGGGGCTGAGACAGCACAGCTTTCTGATATCCCGGCCAAATCCAAGGGTAAAACTGGCTCAAAAATAAAAGGAATAAACAACATGTTCTTTGAATAGTGAAAAAAAAGAACTTTAAAAAAACTAAAAAGTCCAACTTCAAGGCCAGCGGTTTTGTGCCGCAAGAAAAGCACCCTGTCGATTCCTCACGTAAGAATGAGCGTCACCTCCCGCCTCCGCGCTCAGCATATTCCTTGTCTAGGGTCACGTGGGGCCTGGACTGAAATTAGACACCGCAGCTTAGATGGATTATTTAAAAACAAAACGTGTGCAATTGAACGCTCTGCCAATA